TCCTCCTCCTCCTCCTATTCTTCTTCTTCTTCCTCCCTCCTCTCTCCTCTGCCTCCTCCTCCAGACTGTCTGCTTATCTCTCATTTTCCATCATGCAACACTTTCTTCCATCAAAGTAACTCAAGATTTTGTCTCTCCCGCATCGCCCTTTTCTCTCCTCCTTATGTGCAAATTAATACCGCCTTCCAGGTCTTAGTTTGAAGGTTACTGTTTCAAGAAAGTTCCCTGTCAGTCCCAAACCTAGATAACATTTTTTTAAATGAAGCACAATTCTTTTCCCTCTTGAAACTTGTGTTGGTATATGAGTAATTCACAAGTCCAGTCACTTCAGAATCTGTCTTCTTTAGAAGACCAGAAGCTCCAGACAACGTGTGTTTGCATTTGCTGACTCTACTGAAATAAACCCAGTGATGTCTTCCATACAGACACTGTCTTTGATACAAATTTATTGAATGACTTGCTAAACCAGTTTGCAATGATCACTATCTGATTATATCCTCACATATTTGCTTCCCAGAAATATTGATTACATGATTGAAACAGATTTATCAAATTGATCATCTATACCAGTAGAATTTTTACACACTTTCAGATAAATGCCAGAGGTAATTTAAAGCCAACGGCCCCACACAGTGTACTTGATCCTTCACCAAAACAAACACCCATCCTTATATCACATGGGACTTCGCTTCATTCACAGTGACAGCTGAAAGAAACATCTTAAATTATGTGACAGAAAATATACTGAACTTTCCTTTGTTACCTTCAAAATTATGGAACATAGAATAAAACATCTTTTAGAATACCATGGAATCTCAATTATTTGTAATGTCATGTTAGATGTTAAGCCTTTCAGGCATTTACTTGTCTAGTATCTTTGAGCAAGTTCTGGTTGAGCTAACTTTCTACAGTTTCAGAAATGTAAGGAAATTCTCCATAAGATTTTGTAAATTATTCAAGCCACATAGTGAGTGCAAATGAGATTAAATAAAATTTTCTGCCTGGCTCTGTGTTCTTCTTAAAAATTATATACCGTGGCATCTCCCTTTTGAATGATGGAGAAAATTTTATCCCTTCTTACAATCACTGTATAATCAATTTTCAAAATTGAAGAACATTATCCCTCAATTAT